CAAGCAACAGGGTGAAAATTGAAAAAATTGATAGCAAGACTTATCGCTTAACAATTAATGACACTCAACCTGATGACAGTGGATTTTATCACGTCAAAGTGTCTGACGATGCTGGAGTGAGTGAAAGTAAAGCCAACATCGTGGTGGAAGGTAAGTTGATGCGATGTTGTTCGTCTCTGCAAAACATCTTCAGATACAGCAGCTTATCCGCCGTTGAGGATTATCAAAGGCCTGAACGACACAAGAGTCAATGCAGGTTCTAAGGTGATACTCGAGATTGAAACAGAAGGTCAACCGTCGACCGTTAAATGGTAATTCTTCGGTGAGAACTGCAGTTAACTAGATGTTGCTCCTTTGGTTGTAGGTACAAAGGCTCCAATGAAATTGTCGAGCACAAAGGCAGAATAATGGAAAAGATCTCCTCCACGCGGTACCGACTTACTCTGCTGAACGTGCAGACATCCGATGAAGACACGTATCGGGTTATCATTTCAGATAGCCATTCACTGGAAGAAAGTTCTGCAAAACTTGCCGTCAAAGGTTTGTGATGGAAACTGAAAGCATCAACCCCTGATATCATATTTCAGAAGGATCAGTACTCGAAGTAGTTGAAGGACTTCAGGACAAAACAGTGGAAGCTGAAGTGGATGCCATTTATGTAGCAAAAATCTGTGGAAAACCTGACTCCGTTGTATGGTAAACATTGTGTTAATTTGTTATACTCATAGGCTCATATACTCATAGGCAAGTCCGCATAGCCGGTTAAATCGCGTAATTACATAATCTCCGTGCTGTTACATGTCTAAGAAACTATTCAAGCAAGCTACAGCTCCATCACAACATTTTGCCTGTTAATAAGACTGAACCAGAATATGTTATACAATTATGAACATGCTTAACTGACAGCATCAAAAGACGGAGCGGGCATTTTCTACTTGGATTGCATCTGCAATCGAAAAATGGTTGAATTATGCTAATTAATGTACGAAAACGTTTACCAGAAAATTATTATATCGAAAACATAAATGTCAGATTAGCATATGTTTATTATTATTTGCATTTATATGATCCATGAATATCCCTATATAACTTTAATTGTATACAACTCTGCGAAACTGACGAACTTACCTAGGCATAAAATGCATGCATTTGTTTTGGCAATGTACGAAAACGCCGAGCGTTTATCTTAGTTCTGCTTTCAAGTAATGACAGTCTCAGACAGGTGGCTTATCAGACCTCTACAGTAGTAACTCGTCACGGGAATCGTGGAGGGAAAGTTTTAAGGAGACCGTGAGAGAAAAATTGAAAAAGACAGTTGTTACAAAAGTGAAATACAGATGAAGAACATTCAGGAATATTATGAAATATGCACATGTTGCATGTGAAATAGGTCGATGCTTTTTGTAACTGAAAAATTTTAATACCTAAATATATTAAATATATTCAGCACATACGATTTCTGAAATTCGTTCCAGTCTTCATCAACAGATCATCAACTCAGTGGTTCTAGAAGCAAACTAAGGGACAGACGGTAAATGCGCCATAAAGTCGACGGATCCACCACAGAATATACTATCCATCTGTTCGCT